GGGCAGACATGGTGCTGGAGAAGTAGCTAAGAGTCCTACATCTTGCAGGCAACAGGAAATGATCTGAGACACTGGGTGTGGCTTGAGCATATGTGAGATTATTCAGTCTACTTATTTTGCTAAGTTTGCAGTGCCTGAACAGGGACCAGTAGCCTAGAAATTCCACCTGAGACAATAGTAATTACTTCTTCTTTAGCAACTAATTTAATTACAGAAATTGAGTTGATTTTCAACATCCTAAAGCATTCAGACATTTCATTACTGGTTACTCATAGTCATACTGGTAGTTTTGATAACTGTAGAGCATGGGGGCAGGTGTATTACTAATTATACCTCACAGAACAAGGGGAAGATCAAAAGTTCCTATGGTGAAAGACAGTCTTACAGAGAAATAAGATGTCAAGATGTCAGTGGAGTGTTGGAGTCCTAGTCTACATTAGTCTTCTGTATTGTTCCAGAATTCATCTATTCATCTTACTGATCTGAATTCTTACTTTTGATCTTTATAAATAATAAATGTCCAGTTATGTTATATGTTATGATCACCTGAACTGTAAAATCAAATATCAGAAGTAATGTAGACAACTGAGAGGATATATATATATATATATATATATATATATATATATATATATATATCTCGGTTTGTTTTAGCTCTTTGTGGTTCTTGTGATAGTTAAAGTAGACAGATACTGTCCTTTGCCTGGGGCTAAACAAGGAAAGAAGGAAAACAATATCAGTCAGAATGGCTGTCACAGATGGTATAGCATATAAACAGCATTGGGAAAGAGGTCCACAGTCACAGCCCTCAGGACATTCATGTTCAAACAGGTAAACAAAGGATAAAGAACACTGCCTGTCTATCTATCTATCTATCTATCTATCTATCTATCTATCTATCTATCTATCTATCTATCTATCTATCTATCCATCTATCTATCTACCTACCTACCTATTCATCTCTCTATGTACAATATAAATGTAATAAATACCTATGAAAGAAATAAATTAGGTAAGGACAATGAATCAATATGTTGAATAGAATGATCAGTGATGTCATGAACCTGTCACAACAGCATTGCATGACAGAAGGCAACCGAGCAAGTTACTTCAGATTTGTAGTTGAACAAGTTCCTGTACATGTAGGTTTGAGAAAATGCTAAAAGAAAAGGGAATAGCCATTTAATATTTTAAAGAAGAATCTTCAGTGCTCCAGAGTTATCAGTGAGCTTGCATGTTGCATAAACAAAAACCAAAACATTTAAGAAGACAATGATGAGACAACTGCATGAAAGAGGAAATCACAGAAATGGCAGGGGCGAGGGGGAGCCCACAGTTACATGGTGCACACAGATCACAAATGTGGCCAGATTGCATTTGTGTTACATGTTTTCCTGCCGAATTTGGTCAGTCATTTCAACAGTTAGACTATAATAAGACAAACACTGTCAAACAAGGTGTTAAATTCCCAACTGGGTCTAGTATATATATTTCAGTGGATAAAGTAGAAATAAAGTGATCAAAAGGTAGAATATATGAGAAAGTGATGCATGTCATTGGTATTTACTATAAGGAGGTTAACTTAGCCTGTAGTCTATGTCATATATATATATATATATATGCATATTATATGTATATCAATAACATATTACAAGTAACATTATATGGACTGAGAAGGTTATACTTAGGAATATATATGTAAAGATATATATGTAGGAATATATATGCATAAAATAACAATTAGTAAAAAAACGATTCCATGAATTTGAAGAAGAGCAGGGAGGAGTACATGGGAGGGTTTGAAGAGAGAAAGGAAAGGAAGAAATTTGTAATTATATCATAATCTCATATATATGTATACATACAT